CCCCAGTGATGATCTGCAGTTTGTCTTCACTATAATTTACTGCAAATTACTCCAATTAGAGAATGCATAGGAGCGACTCTAATTGTATGTTTCACTCTCATTACTATTATTTCCCCATGTACACTGTAGACTCTAATATATCCAATAATGAATCAACCACAGGAACCTTCCATACATAGGGTTCCTTGGAGTAAAATCATATTCACTGCGGACAGAATGTACCTGCAGTGTGTCCGGTTTGAGAGTTATGGAGCTTCACGGAGGACATGGGGAAATACAGGAATATATATTAGGCGGGAGGATAAAAAAGGCAGACTTTTGTATTCTTACCTTTGGCAAAAGTTTCAGTTCTCTCCAAAAAGTTTGTCTTGCAAAATTTTGCATTGGCTTGCTAAAGTTTTGTTTCTTAGAAAAAAAGTTGTGTACTTTAAGAAAACTTTTGTGTCTCTCCCTCAAAGATTTTTTCTCAAAAGTCTTCTCCCAGTTATCCACAGAGGTCTCCTCCTCTCCAAAACAAACGGACCCACTGATTAAAACCGCTAAAAACACTGAATAAAGCAGTTCCTTAAAAATCACTGCTTCTCCCACGCTGTTGGACAGACAAAGGACGTCCCAGAGGGGCTGTGAGCCGAGCTGCTGCTAACGCTGGCTCAGCTTGTTTCTCTGATAACTTAAGATCCAGACGTCCGATGACTAAAATCCTTCATCCGGTTCAAATCTAGAGTTAAAAAGCACCAAGATCTAAACAGTGGATGGTAAAAATGTGGCTTCAGACTGGATAAACAATCAATGTATGAAAGCTTCTGGCAGACGACGACAACGCTGACGCAGGCACAAAGTTGCAGGCGACTGTGAAACGCAGTGTTACCTGAATATAATTTCTCTAAGTTTGTTTGTTGGAAACATTTGAGGTAACGTAAGTACACAACTCAACTACATATAGAACATAGCTTTAGAGTTTTTAGACATTTTAATGCGGAAATGTTAGATATTATAGCTTTAATGTTTAACAAACACAATATCCAAGGCCCTTCAGTGTACATTAGATCTAGGATTAAACTCCATATTAACTGGTGCACAGAAGAGTGCTTCAGTCTGACCATACTGAATCGTGGAACCTTGCATCTCTCGTCTGACGGTAACAGTTTGTATTCACTATTCAGGACATGGTTGGGGTCATATGTCATTATGGAATGCTGATTCACAGAGTTTCTTAGTGGGTTTGCCTAGACTCTTGGAGTAGATTTTTATTTGGTGGAGCAGTTTTCACTTAAAAGTAGTGGACAAACACTTAAAATATACTACCATGTAGGATTACTATACTGTAGAACAAGAAGAAGAACTACTTGCCAACCACACACAGACCTACGGTGGCAGAGAATCTTTTTTGCAGACATATTCGGTGTGGATTAGGATCTAAACTGAATTGAAAATGAAAATAAAAATCAAAATGAAAGCTAATGAAAAATATAAAAACTATAATAATATCTGGACTTTAAAATCCTGTGTGTGTTTGAGACATCCATCCACCCCACCACCTCCATACGTGGACTTTGTTGCTCTTTAAACGACGTCAGTTGACCTTTATGGAGGGGGTGTCCAGAATTAACGCTAGAGGGATACCCACTGCGTCATATTTTGGACAAATGCAGTTTACATTTTCCATTTAATTCCCACCCTAATTGGCTTTCGTGTTGTGCCTGTCATTTAGATTAAAACAGATTACATTCAGACTCACTATTTCTGCAGCCTTTCCCCTCACTTTCCGCCAACACACGCTCCAGCGCGCACACAATTCCAACTGTGGTATGAAATATTTAACCTTAAGCTCCAGTTTAGGAGGTGCAATTACAGGCACTATGCTAGCAATAGAGGTCATGAAGGGTGCACACCCAGCCATCATCTGTCCTCCCTCATTTGTGCATGAAAACAGATTTAAGGCACAATATAAACCTATTTTCAAGATCACAAGTACATTTTTAATTTGAAAATCCTACCATATCATCTAGATAACTAGGCTGCGTTTTGATCAGTGAGTTCTGTAGGAATCATGTAGGTACAGTTCTCATTTTGATAGGCTACATATTATTAATGTAGACTAAATTATTCAACATTTTCCAAGCACATTTATTATTTACAGCGTTGTCTGTTGAACTATTTTGTTAAAAATGAGTAAATTAGTAAAAAATATCAGATAAAATATGATTTGAAGCATCCTGGAAATCCTTGATGCCGAGCCTCTTCCTTGGCCGTCTCACATCGCTTTCCCAGATATAGTTCTTCGACTTAGTCTGCTGGGGTTTATCTCTGCCAAATACAGTATTTCTGTTTTTAAACTTTACTCAAATTCAAGTTTTCAATATGGCCGGAGAGAAATGGAAACTCACAGAGTCACAGAATCCGTATGATAGTGTGACATTATTGTGAAAACGTGTTCTTATGTTCTATGATCCTCTTCCTCTGTCTTTGTTATACTGCTGCACCTTCTGCCCTCCCAGCCATCAAATATTCAAACTGTCTGCGCTCCTGCTCTGGCACTCTGGACACCTGAGCGCACTGATCTGAGACCAGTTGAGCCAACAACAACGCTCTCCCCGTTTATTCTCAACCAGCAGCAGACAACAGAAGGACTCTGACATGTAAATTATTAACAAAGATCACTTTTTCAACACTGATACTACTGGTAGGTCAGTAAGACCAGAATCCTTTCTTTTAGGAGAGGTTCTGCTGAAATAATAATGGCCAACACGTCTCCTAGAGATTATGTTGAACTCTGCAGTATCTGTCTGCAGCAGAGCTCAGCTTTAAATATCATCAAATTTTATATTATGGGTTTTTGTTTGGGCAGCTGAAGGTCTAGCTGTTGAACCGGCATGTTTCTACAGTAGCCCAGAACGGACAAACACTGACACTAGATTGGGCCTTTTGTGTTGAGTGTGAGTTTCGCAGCCACCATAGTTTCTCCTGCACACTTTAAAGCCTGAGCTGTATTCAGATAGTTGCAACCTGCAATGTCACTGCTAAATGCCTCTGAATCCTACACACTGAAACATCACAGCTATTCAAAGTAGATTATGACATTCGGCCCTAACCCAAAGAAAGGTTAGCGCATATGCAAGAGTTGCCTTAAAGTCCTTTTAATGAAGTTAATATTAATAAAGTTACCATAGATTTAAGCAGCAACAAGGAACTTTCATTTTGTGTTGATGCTGGTAGCCCCTGTGGACAAAAATTGTACCGCCTTGTTTCATTGATTTCAAGGGGAATCCGACCTGGCAGGCATTAAGAATAACTGTGTAGGTATGAGGTATCAGGGTCAGTGTACTTTGCTGCCTATGGATTTTTGTTTCGAGATGAGATCACCAAAATCATAGGGGACAAAACGGGTTGTGTGTTTTCTGTTTTAGATAAATCCTTTTCTTTGTTTTTTATTTTTAACACAAAAACAATTTCCAAATTTGGTTTTCTCATTTCAAAACAAAAATCCATTGGCCACAAAGTACACTGACCCATTATTTCTATTATTCCGCCATTCCCAAAACACATCACACTGCTTGTAACTGCAAGGTACAGTGCTGTCCATACAAAATGTTACGCCTTTGACCACGCCTGCAGTCTTAAGAGCAAACCTTGGTCCTCCTTGGTGAAGCAGGTTAATCCCATCAGTTACATAAAGCACTTTGTATATGTACTGTGCTTTATGATCAGTAAAACCTATTATCTGCGTGATAGAATACAAAAAGCATCATTGGGATTTTGTGGCCGCAGATGAATGACAGTATGAATAAAAGGTAAATTCTTGTTGTTTGACCTGAAGAGGCATCAGACCCCTGCCAATCCTGACCCAGGAAGTCATGGGTTAATCCTGCCTCTACCAATAATTGGATAGGAGGACAGGCACAGAGGAGAGCTATTACTTAGTGGGACCAAATGTGAACTATGACCTCTCAGCCAGCTGGCCACCAACACACGGCAGTGAGGAGCCTGAGTGGACTGACAGCATGCAAATACAGTTCAGCAGTGTCTCTTTACAGAAGGCTTCCAACTGCTTTAGCTCATCTGATCTTTTAAATTGTGAGCAAATATCAAATCAAACATTTTATTTGAAAGCTGAAACAAAAACTAACCCAGACAGTTTGGGGGCAACTGCCTTTATGATTAACTGATGAACTGTAGGATTTACAGTTATCCCCACAACCCCTCTAAGGTCATTGGTTCAGCTGCTCACAGAAGTGTGGAGAAGCTTAATCAAACTACTCCTCATTGATGGGCTCTCCAGGGTCTGTAGTTGTTTCCTCGTGTCATTTGGGATTCAAACTGGCAGTCTAACAGACATACACACTAAAAAGTTTGGGGTAATATAACGCAGACGCAATACTGGATTAACCTTATCCTGGACCACATTGTGATGGATTTTGTGGCATTTTTTGCAATGAAATTGCAGGAGAATCTGAAGATTGCCGAAATGCTTGCAATTACAGTTTATTTTTGTATTATTCAGCAAAAATTGGAGGTAACTTGTTCCAGTGAGAATGAAATCACACTGTTTGGAGGGTAAATGTGAGACATTCATGTGGCAGGGGGTGTGCATGGTCTGCATCTTCAAACATAAACAAAGAAGTGAATTTGGTTCCATGATACAAGAAATTCACCAAGTATGGTTTGAGATTTGCTCACAGCCTTTTGAGAATCATATTTTTCTTGGATGAAGGCCACCTCTCCAGACTCCCCATATAGAATGAAATCAGTCAGACTTTAACGTGTTATAATCTATGTATGTTGTAAATACGTCATGTATCATAATGAAAACGTGAATTCCTCACGTGGTGACACTTTCTGAAGATGAAGAGTAGTTTGGTCGCGGGGCGCTGCAGCTGCAGGACAGCAGATGGCACCGCTGCGCCGTCCTGTGGATCCCGCTTGGCACAGAGACGCGTCCACGTTGTTCCCACTGTCTGCCTTCTCTCCAGTTCCCCTCCCTCCCTCCCTCCCTCCCTCACTCTCTCTCTCACTCGGCTTACAGTATACACCTATCTATCTTCCACAAGCATCAGCAGTCACTCCATCAGTCTCCGCGATACGAGCGGTACTACGGCGCAAAGCATGGCATCTCTGCGCCCCGAAAAACCGGTCTCCGCTGCTGCGCACCTCTGCGTCTTTCTGTTGACCGTCTCGGCCTGGATGGCACTGCCGGGACCCGTGCGTTGTGACAGCGGGGCTTTAAACCGGCGCGGCGGGGAGCACCGTACGTTTGACATGGGCGGTGGAGACGGTGGCTCCCCGCCGGGCTTACCGACGGACGGTGTCGAGGAAGCCGTCGGCGCGGAGACCTCTCCCCGCTTCAGGAGAGCACTGTCCCGGGAAAAACAAATGTCCCTGCTCAGCAGTTCGTTCGTGCTCAAAGGGGATGCGACCCACAACCAGGCGATGGTCCACTGGACAGGAGAGAACAGCAGCGTAAGTAGCCTACCCCCCTCCCGTCCTGTCCCGTCACGATCCGCTGGTTCATGCACCATCCCCACCATACCCCTCTTTGTCACCTTCCACCATCCATCACTCCAGCCACATCACCAGAAACAAGTTATTGTTCTCGCAGGAGGCTGCAGACGCACACTGCGCGGCTCTCGGAGACCAGGAGGCGCAGTGTGGTTTTTACGCATCCAAGTGGTCCAGCTGGACGCGCGGTGGATGTTGTCAGGCGCTGGGCTTTGTTGAAAGATCAGGACTTTTTTTTTTGACGTTTTCACGTCAGTGGCCCCACAAATAGACATGTACACTCTGTCGCCTCTTCCATTACATCACATGGTGGCCCAAGTCCATGAGCATCTGTTATTGTCTGTTTACGCTGCGCTGCGCAGGGAAATCACAGCGTTCAGAGTGAAACTTCTTATTTTCTATGTCCTTTGTTTGAACTTCCTTTCATATTTCATTGCTGTAAAATGAACACATGCATCATTTGACCTTGGGAACCTCTTTAATGTTCAATTAGAGACCAGGGGAAGGTCCCCTGACCCCACTCTGGGAACCACAATAATAACCACTCATGCCGCTGTGTCTGATAACATTCAGAGGGAGTCCAAGGACGCGCCTGTGTGCGCACAGAGCCATTGTGGTGAGGAGGAGCGCGCACTAAACAGACAGATCGGTGCTTGATGTAGTCACACGAAGCCATGACTAAAATATTGATGGAGCTTTTTGTCCATGAATTTTGCAGTGCCTTATTTATTTGTGGTTTGGAACGTAATTTGGCTCAGATGAAAGTAGCTTACTTTTTATGCCTTCACTGTCATTGTCTGCCGGAATTTGGCATTAAAGTAGATCTGAGACAGAAGTCTAGCACAACTGACACATTAATCCACTGAAGTGACCACTGAATTATATTGTGTTCCAGAGTATTTTGGGCATATTTAAGTGGTTACTTTGGAGAAGACAGAAGTTTTCTAACTGTATGGTAGTGGTTTTTCCTTAGGGCCGGGTCAAGCCAGAGCACTACACTATGTAAACAAGAGCTGTCTTTGTGATAGATATTGACAGACGCCAGGGGGGATTTGAGTGGTGGTGTCTGGTGGAGACATCACTTGCAATCAGAGCCTTTTTGTCAGTGTAACACATTGCTGTTTTACTGGCTGTGGCTGCAGGCGGCTCTGCAAAAAAAGAGAAGAAAAAACATGAAAGAGAAAATAATCTGACCGTGAAACAGCCAGCAGACCTATTTTGCTCGAATTTGATGGAGTTTCATGACAAATCGGTTGGTAAATAATGTAAACGGTGACATTTGCAGGTAACGCTCAACTTATTGGATTATCAACAGAGGCAAGAGAGATTGAATTTAAAGCTGCTCGGGGCACCTTTGCTCGTTGGTGGGTCCAAGTGGCAGCAAGAACTTGAAAAGTTGATTTTCAGAAGCCAGAAATCTTCTGAATTTGCACAGTATGCTCATGTTTATTGCACAAGAGAGGCAGAGGATGTGTTTATTTGAACCTAGACTGGAAATAAAGAGGTTTACCACTGCAGCTTTAAAACTGAACTTAAAGGACCAGTGTGTAGCCTTTAGTGGCATCTAGCAGTGCAGCTACAGATGCAACTCCCTTGCTTCACCCTCCCCTTAAGGCAAACAACCTAATCTAACCGAACGCCCTTATCTATAGCCAGTGTTTGGTTTGTCCCTTCTTGGCTACTGTAGTACATGGTGGTTAAACATGGTGGACTCCATTGAAGGCAACCGGTGGCATTCATTACAGGATAAAAGCATTCTTGGATATATTTGTGGAAACACCATCTAGGCTATGCCTGGAGCCTCTGAGTGGGTGTTTCCCATGGCAGAGGTTGACTGACATGTGAGGGCTGTTGTTGCTATGGCTTACCAACATTAGCCTTTACATAATGTTTTTTGTCAGGCCCTCTTAGGTTATGTTCTGTGATGATTTAATTGTCTGTCCCTCAACAACATTCGACATTTTGGGAGGAGCCGTTGTGCTGTTTGTATTCTGCTCTTGGAAAGTGGGAGCTAGGCAGTTAGAATAACTGGCGTTCACTCTGAAAGTGGAAGCTTGTTAGCATTGTTTGCTAACGTTAGCACCAACTCCTACTAGATGTCAGTTTTTAGCACTGCAATAGCTGAAAAATAAAGAAAACATTTTTTTTTTTAAATCTCAGTTCGACTTTAAGGAGCTCAAACCTGATAAACTCAAACTGGCCGAATTCCCTTCTGAGTTCAAGGAACCACAATTCAGTAATGACTTGCGGGATTCTAGTGCTTTGGCATTTAAGACTGGGCATTTAAGTAATAAAAAAAAAAAAGTGACATTCTCCCGATGGAGAGCCTTTCTGGTGATGAACTTGCCAGTCTTTTTTTTTTTTTTATTGCAGCGATGAGTCCGCAGGGATCCTAGTGCTCAGGCTCTGCCAGTCAAAGGAACTCCAAGTTTGACTTATCCTCAGTTAACTTGCCGTGGGTATGTTCTCCGAAAGGTCATTGGGACCGAGTTCATCCCAGCCTAATAAACACAGAGAAATGGTGCCATTCAATTTCCCTAAGGCTGACATTTATGAGCAGCGCGCAGATTGATGGGTGGGAAAAATGAATCTATGCCTCCTCTCTTGTTTCATCATTTCATTTTGGAGTCTCAGAGGTTCCAAATGTGAGTCACAGATGAGAGGGTTAGCCGTGCAGTGGACTTCAGTTGTCACATCTGTCTTAATGATGGGTAATCAGGAGTGTAATAAAAACCACCTATTTGTCTCAAAAAGTACATTTCACTTTCAGGGTAATTTCATCATTGCATTATCATTGTAATATGTGTATGTTTGTTTTCTGGCCAACTCCCCTCTCTCAATAACCTGCAAAGTGTTTTGACAAGAGGATGAATTGTTAATCTAGCTTTACAGTAAAAGGGTTGTTGAAAACAGCTCTTGTGCACTCCCCTCTGTCCCAATAGCAGCAACAGTCACTTTACTTTGGCAAGCCTTGATTGGTCAATTGATGGCTGAGAGCATGAAAGAGCTTTCCCTCAGGCATCCTCCAGAAGGTGTCCTTGGAGAGCAGAGATAGCTGGTGAAGTGTGTATGTGTAATGTGTGTGTAAGGGAGTGTTTTAAAGTAAGAGCATGTAACATGTATTCAAGGAAAATAAATGCATGTGGAATCAAGATCAAAATACAGTCCAACAGTATGCCTGCTTTCCCTTCAGCTGTTAGATCATCAGGACTATTAAAAATCCAATACTGAGGAGGGCAAAGGTCACAGCCACAGCTCCATGATAATATTTATGAACCCTAGAATAAATAACCAACAGAGAACTAAGAAAAATAACTGAGAACGGAGGAAGAATGGATTTTTCTGTATTACCGAGCTCATTATCCATCGTATTTTGTGTCTGTAATTGGACATATTAAACGCTGTATGTACAGTACATCTCTCATTAAGTAAATATCAAAGAGGCAAAAGGCTTGTTTTATCACTCAGTTTCAGGCTGAAGGAATCCCCTTATCCCCGTGGGCTGAGTCTTTTCTCCATGTTCAAATGAATGATTTAAACCTACCTGTGGTGCTATAATGGTCATTGTGATGATATTTTGAATTGCTTTTTACAAAGACCGACTGTCGGATGCTATTTTTAAGGAGAATATGACCTATTTTACCAAATTTTTGAGGTAAAGTGACCAAATTTTCCTTGCAAGTCGATAGATCTTCTCATTCCTTCCTCTCCTCCTTCTCCTCCTGAATTGCCACGTCTTTCAAACTCCACAACCCCAGTTTGAAAAAATTATCTTAACTCAAAATCCACTAACTAGCTTTTCATGAAAACTGTGCAAATGACATCAACTGATGATGAAGACCAAGAGATGTGGTTGAAAGCTTGAATCAAGATTATTTTGTGAAACCATTGAACAATTATTTCCACAGTCAAGAATTACCTTTGACGCCATTGTGTTGTGTTGGGTCCTTGAATTTGTGGTAAATAGGCCTGGAAAGTCCTTAAAGTTAATGTTTAAGAAGTTGGAAACCTGATACTATTTTTGCAAGCTGAGTAGTACTCCCCATGACTAGCAATGTTATGTATAATTTGAAAATGTTTTTGGTGACTCACTCATAGTGATATCAAAAAATACACTGCCCCATAATTATAATGGCCTGAAAGAACACATAGACTGCACAAATTTCCACTGGGATTATCTCCACTGTCTACAAACCAACAGTTATATCAGAATAATTTGAAACATAACATAATCATTTTTCATATAGGCACTTCAACATGCTGAATGTGTTCAAGTGATTTAAAGATTACAGGTTTAACATTTCAGGAGACTAGAATATTATTTACAATGAAAAAATATAACAAAATTCACTGACACAGACGTAAACATGCATGCATATGGAGTTAGTGAGTCCCGGAAGGAATCCTGGGAATGGACAGGAGGCTGTATAACATGATACCAGCCGTACTGAATGAAGGCTCCACTAGTGAAAGTGCTCTCTTTGTGCAATTCTCCCTTTGTGCCTTTCTCTCTCTCCTCTCTCCGCGTTGTTGACCAGCCTCAGGGAACTCTGAGCTGTGTTCGTCTTCCCTCTATTTCTGTCTCCTCTCTATGGTGACGAGCGGCGACACCTTCTGCGCCCATGTGTCTCCGATATGTGCATTTGTATCGCCGAGGAAACAGCCCTCAACATATAATAGGGTTTCTCTCTCTTGCGTGTATTGATTGTTTCACAGAGAGACAGATTATGCATTGGTATTGCACTCACACCTTTTTTAAATTTACGAGTGTGTGTGTGTGTGTGTGTGTGTGTGTGTGTGTGTTTGCTTGTATGTGTGTGTTGCTGATCCCTGGCGGCCTGTCCCACAGTAGCCTAAGTGATTAATGAGCGGCAACAGGGGCGCTGACAGTCCAAACTCTCGTCCCACCCTCTACCCCTCACAGGGGAATTGTGGGTAATTCCTGCCACTTCCTGGTTTAA